CATGGAACCAGGAGGAGAGCCTACTATTTCCGCTTTCCTAAACTAGTGTAATTCCTGTAATGCAAATATTTGTATTTATATCAATAGCTAAGTGTTCATCCTCCCTCCAATCAATGACTTTTTTTTTTTTTTTTACAGTAGACAGAGATCACGTCAAAGAGACAAACTGGCCAAAATACAGAGGTCAACTGACTTTGAGGTACCTACTCCAGTAATATAAATTAATACCAATTAATATATTTACAATAATTCCTATACTTCGGGCTCAGAGAACATCAACAAAGAGAGAGTGGAAAGCTTGTAAGAGTGAGAGAGGATGAGGACATTTGTGATTCAGTCTTACTGGGGAAAAAAAATAGACGGGGAAAGGATGGATGATTGGGGAGTTTTGAAGGAGAAATTGATAGTAACTATTACCAAGTTTCACTACGTGAAATTCTCAAAGAGTTAAAAAAATTATTAAGATAGCTCATTGTGGAGAGGAGGGATGGAATGTGGAACAGTCAGAGGGTGGACTGGAGTGGGGGAATAAAATCTGGAGTGTAAATAAATAGATAAATAAATAATAAAAAAGATTGCCGATTGTAATTTATAACCCCAAAAGCATTATTTTAGCAGATGTATCATTCTGCTAAAATGATATTCCTTCGTTTGAGCTAGGACCCTTCAAATTAAATGGCAAAATTCATCATTTAAGAACAAAAAATCAAATGTATATATGATTCTCATGAACAAAAGTCAAATTGATATGCTCTTATCTACAAAACCTTGGCTTCATTTTTAAAGGTTTTAAACATCAGTGATATGTTTTAAGTAGAATTAATTGTGTATGTCAGAAAAGGTGAAGTGTATTTTTCTTTAAATGAGGGCCTTTGTTCTTTTGTGTGTTTCTTTGCTTGCTTGCTTGGTTATAGAGTACTAAAAATTGTCCCTACAGCTTCTATTATTCTATACAACGTTTTACCCTCATCTTATACCCCAATAGTAATGTTTGGTGTGTGTTACGTTAGTGTGGCTTACAGTGTGTGTAAAAAATGTGTGTGTGTGTGTGTGTGTGTGTGTGTGTGTGAGTGTATGTTGTATATGTACCTGATGGTATGTGTATATCACAAGACAATCTCCAGGAATCAATTCTCTCCTTCTATCACTTACTTTCTAGAGACTGAATTCAGATGCTCAGATTTGGCAACAAGCCCCTTTTGAGTCACTTCCTTGTCCCTGTTTGGGACATTGTTGTTATTTTTGACAAGGTGAGCTCACTGTAGCCCAAGTCAGCTTTCAGTTGCCTCAGACTCATGAAAAACTGGGTTTCCAAGCCTGTACCTCTCAGCACGGCCTACTGATAATTTCCTAAGTATAACACTGTATGGAGACAGAAACATGGTATAATTTGCATCCAGAAAATATAAAATCATGAAGATACATATGAAGTTTGTTCATCCAACTATCAGTTGTTTTTTAAAACAGGTTTGACTTCTGTTACTACAATAGAGGACATATCTCTGAGATGTTTGTGGGACAACCTCCTCCACAGAGGAGGAGATCAGTTTTTCCAGTCTGCCGCACCTATCAGCGAACCAGGCTATAACTCTGATATATACAGGATTTCTTTCCTGAGTTCTCAAAGAAGAACCCTGTTTTGAAGATTCAAGTTATTTTTACCATAACGTTGGATTTCATTAAGGGAAAGCAGAGTTACCTCTAGTGAAAGAATGCAAACTGCCTGAGATGAAAAAGGAGATTTTACCATCTCTTAAGAATGAATTCAGTTGAGATAGTCAATTATCTGACCAATCAGGCACCTGAAAGAAGACAGATCTACCTATGCTAAACGAAAGAGAGAGGAGAAATGACTATGCCTTTAATGAGGCAATGTACTATTCCATTTCAGTATTCTTACCATCTATTGCCTGTAGTTCCTTCTAGGAGCCAACAAGATTCTGTGGTGATGGCCCAGCTTACTGATCACCGTCACAGAGTGCAAAGATATTAAATTCTTTTGAAACAGGCCTAAGAACTCCAAGAAGGGACCCTGATATCCTGTCACATGACTTTACCATTGAATTTTTTGTTCAGTACTTCTATCTGCCTGCTAATTAAGTAGTGATGATGAATGAGACATTTTACCTTCTGAAATCTGGCTTAAAGGATGTGATTCATAACCACTTAGCATTTCAACATGCTCAAAAAACTCATTCTATAAATTACCTATTATTTTTCAAAACTGTACAGCTGAGTGTGTATTTAAATGATTTTATTCTAATACCATACATATAAAGAAGACTTTCACTGTATAGACACAATACATACAGCTTTATATCCTTTGAACTTTACTCCTTATTACACAGCACAAAAGGAAGTAGAAGAGATTCTGATATCTGACCCTCTATGATCATTTACAAGCTATATTAGATGGAACAAATTACTTTGTATTTTAACAGCTGGTTTTCAATATATATATAAATAAGAATTAATTAAATCACCTTTTCATGAGATGCCATAGAGAGTAAATAAAATATACAAGCATTCATAGCAATGTCAAATGAATACAACAAATTATTTAAATACTGATTTCTAAAAATTAACCTCTGTTCTTTAGTAATAATGATGAACTCTAGATAAATGAATTGACCAAGATAACTTTTACTACATCAGTATCAGAGAGAGGAGAATGTGAAAACTTTCCCAAAGTATTTGGGACTAGCTCTGAGAAAGTGGTCTTGAAACATGTGGCCAGGACAAGGAGAGTGTCTCTTGTTTCCATGCTCACTGCTTTTTGTCTTTGCTCCTGGATTGCCTGTAGAGGCATGGGTTGTCTTCATAACAACTGTTGTGCTAAAGCTTAGAACATGTTTTCAAAGTACTGAATAAACACAAAACTTTAATAACACTCTTTGGACTGATGGCTGCTTTCAATCAAAGTCTATTCACCTTTGCTTTGAGTTCATTATCAAGGATTTATACTCTCTTTATAGTATGTTACAGAATAAAAATAGTTCAGGATATCTCATAGCAACTCAATCCCCTGTCTTTACAAATCCACTTAAAAATGGCCCTAGGACTTTATTTCCTATAAAATCACCATTGAATAATCTTCCAACATTTCAGAGTGCAGTGTTTAGCAATTAAACATAATTAGGTTCATAACACTTTAATTTTTTATTACAACTTTCATTATTCTCACTAAGTGCAGAAATTGGTACTTAGGAATTTTGCATTAATTTTAATTTAATTAATTTTAACTGCTTTTAAAAAGACTGAAAGATTCATTTCTAACACTCCTTGTATATCCTGATCTTTAAAACCAGTGTAGCCAAACAAAGCAAAGGAAATGGAACTTAGATCTGTTGCTGGTATTCTATTAATATACAATAACAAACAACAACAGCATACTACAGAGCATTTGTGTAATTAATTTTCTTATTAATGTGACATACAACTTGTTAGTATTAGTAGTTAAAGCCTACAAATTTATCACATATATTTTTGATGATCTCTGTGGGAAGAGAGAGAAAAACTCATTGGATAGTTTTCTTAAACTTCATTATCTCTGAAATCTGCACTGTATAATGACACAAACTGATATCAAAGAATGATTTATTACAGCTATCTTAATGACAATCTTCAGTAATAATCATATTTTATAAGTAATGGATAAAGTCTATTGACTAGTAAATTCAGATACAAAACTTTACAGATTCTTTGGCATTGCAAACCTTGTGCAAACACACAGGTGTTTAAGAAGCAAAGAAAAAAAAAAGCAAAGATTAGGGAGGGATCTGGGAGGGAAAGGGGACGGGGTGGAAGAGGGGAGCATGATCTGGCACTGGGCAGGGGGAAAAGGACTTAAGGCCTGAGGGCAGCAGAAAGAATGGAAACAGGTAAGCTATGGAGCTAGAACATTAGAGGGACCCTCTCGAATGTATCAGACATGAGGGTAAGAGACTCTCAGGACTCAAATGGAGGGATCTTATATGAAATGCCCTACAGTGGAGAAAGGAAACTTGTAGAACACACCTCCAGCAGAAAGACAGAGCATCAAGTGAAGGACAGGGTTGCCATCTCACAGTCAAAACTCTGACTCATAATTGTTCCTGTCTGAAATAACTGCAGGGATGGAAATGGAGAGAATGAGGAAAGGAAGGTCCAGTGACAGACCCAAAGTGGAATCCAGATCAAGGGGAGGCCTCAAGGCCTGACACTATTACTGAGTGCTCACAAAAAGGGACCTATCATGACTGCCTTTCGAAAGACCCAACAAGCAGCTGAAAGAGTCAGATGCAGATATTTGCACTCATCCAATGGACAGAACCCTGTGACCCCTGTGGTTGAATTAGGGAAAGGCTGGAAGAAGCCGAGGAGGAGGGTGACCTAGTAGGAGGACCAGCAGTCTCAATTAACCTGGACGCCTGAGATGTCTTAGAAACTGGACCACCAACCAGGCAGCATACACCAGATGATATGAGGGCCTCAGCACATATACAGCAGAGTACTGCCAGGTCTGTGTTCAGTCAGAGAAGATACACCTAACCCTCAAGAGACTGGAGGCTCCAGGGAGTTTAGAATTCAGGTGGAATGTGGAGACAGAGGATAGGGAGGAGGTATGGGATGTGGATCAGTCAGAGGGTGGACTGGGAGGGAAATAAAATCTGGAGTGTAAAAAAAAAAGATTAAATAAAAAAAAGAAATAAAAAAAAAAGTTATGTCTATATTCCCCAGGACATCCCAAAGGATGTCACCAATGACATTTACCTTTGTTACAAAAAAAGTTACTTAGAAACAAAACCATCAGCTGACAATAACAATACTTTTAAGTTCTGAAGAAGAAAGTGAAGGAATTTCTGGCCCTTTTGCCCCAGGCACAGAATAACAGATCTGTAACGTGATAAACATGAATGATTGAATTCCTACCACTGCAGAGAGAGACAGAAAAGACAAAAATTGCCCATCTTCCTCTCATATAAAGATACAGGAACCTCTGCTGTGAACTATTCTTCAACATGAAGCTGCCTGTTCTCTTTCTTTTGTTTTTCTTTCTGGACCTGTTGAGGACAGGTAAAATGGGATCATTCATTGGGAAGATGAATGTTTCAGGAGAGGAAAATCTTATCAGACAAGTGTCAGCTTGGGACAAGGAAGTGATTTGGTAGCCTAGGTAATAGTTACTTAGAGGCCCCTAGAGTATAATATGAATAAAGGATTTGTGGTTTTGTTTCTACTGAGTCATATCACTGTGGGAAACTAAAAATATATAGTTTTGATTAAATGAGCGTGAGCAAAGTTACTAAACATTAATAAAATGAGTATATCCTTTGAAGTTACTGATATCTAAATTCAGATTTCATTTCCGTCATGTTTGTTATTTAAACTCATTCATTTGTTTATTTAATTCATTTATAAGTTAAGTATATTAATTGCATCTAGAAATTGTTTTCATAAAGGTTAATTATATGTAAATATGTAACATGTATAAAATAAGTGAGGGTAAATTGTTAGGAATTTTAACTTGGTATAATTATTTTTAAATTATATTGAGAAAACTTGAAAGCAGATAACATTTCCTTTTATGGAGAAAAAACGTCTTCTTTGCTGCCTATTGCAGGAGAAACAGAAGAGGAACTTACCATCTTGTGCTTCATGGGTGTGGATTGTTGTGTTCTCCTTTCTATCCCATTAATTTAACTATTCTAACTTCAGATTAGCCTTGACAGGAAACATTTTTATGGAGAACAGTAAACAGACTTTCTTGACACATTTCAGACTACTTAAGATAGGACAACTTTTTCTTGTTTGTGCAAAAATACTGCAATTACTTCTACTCAGTTTTACAAAAGGAGGAAGCTAGCTAAGCAAACACACAAGGCGTCTTTGAACACTTTGATTTTGACCTTTGAGTCCATTCCATAACAGTATAAAGCAAACCAAGCATTCTATCAACATGCCCCATTTTAATTGATGAAAAATCCCCAGGGATTTATCTATTTTTGCATCACAGGGTAATGTGTCCTGAAGTCAGATAAAGAGGGATACAATTATAGTTCTAACTAGTTAAATAGTCTGAGACACAAAGATCATTTGAGTACATGAGGGCAATATTTTTATGGGCATGGTAGCAAAACCACATATTAAAAACAAAACAATGAAAAATAACAAAATGATTTGTATAGTTTGAATGTCTATAATGCAAATTAAACATATCAAATGATAATTATTAAAATTATTAATATATTACATGACCTTAAATTCAAGGCAAACTATCAAAATCTTTTAAAAATACGTTTAAACTTTTAAAGTTACATTATTCTCCCTTCCCTTTCCTCTCTCAAATCCCTTCCATGTCCTTTTCTTATTACTTCCAGAGCTCATGGCCAAACAGTTTCAGGATGCACATGAGCATTTAGCACAGCCATGTTTGTATAATAAAATATTTACTCCAGTTACACTAGCATGATTTGCATGTGTCTCTCATGCCACTCCTTTGGAAAAAAAGTGTTTGTGAAGTTCTTCATGACATTTTCAGTACCTTTAAAACCCTCAGAGACATTGTGTATGTGCGTGGATAGTTTTATCTAAAAGTTGAGGAATTTGCAATTCTTTCTTGTGCGTGAAAATGAATTTTAATATGGAACAGTAGCTGCTATCTAGAGAGAAGCTATTTGTTATTTTTGTTACTAGTGGAGGAATGCTAATTTATAATTCCCACTTAAATAATGCTATTCTTTTTCTCATACTGATGCCTGACAGCTGTCATCTTCTGTTATTTGTAGACTCCAACTAAGTCAACATATATTCTTCACACCCTCATGTAGGACAGTGTAATTTGAGGATGCATTTTTTTTTAATCTGGTGAAATGACGTCTTTTCCCCCTGGCATCAAAGGCAATAAATAGCATCTCTCTAGATAATATAAATAAGCAAACATCATTAATTTATGCAGTAGAGCAGTGGTATTATGTGCTTTAATATATGTATGGTAAGGAATTCCTATTGGGATGGTGATGTATGTAAGTAGTAAGCTATTTTTCTAATATGTATAAGACCCTGAATTTCATCCACAGTATAGATATACAAACATTAATATAATATGAATTTAATTTTTCTGCAAAAGCTTCCTTCCCAAAGAAAAGGAAATATTGTTATTAACCTAAGTTCACTGAAAACAGAAAACAGTAATATTTAGTTATATGAACCATCATTTCTACCTTGTTTGGATGATGAGTTATCTTAGAGGAAAGAGGAAGGATACTGTTCACGTACCTTCCTGGTTGATATCTTATAATTTCCCATTATTTTTCATAATTTTACTTTGAGAGCTTATCATTCAATGGAACTGTCTTAAAAAATAGAATTATATTCTAAAAGGGTAAAATAGTAGTAGCCTTGCTCCCACGAGATAGATTCAGTTGGTATAAGCTGGAACCTTGCAAGTTTGAGTACTTTACAAAAGAATCTGAATGTAAAGAATGAAGAAATACCGATTATTTAACTTTCTTTCTTGTGATGTCCTCAAGGGAAGTCTTGCATGACGATGCATGTATTCCTTGCATCCCACTGTATGTAGATCTTTATAAATGTGCAAAAATCCTCTCTTACCTCAAAGTATGTTGGGAATTTTTATTTTTCATAAAAGTTAAGTCTAATGATATTTATATCATACAGTAATATAATTACTGTTAACTAAGTTTCCTATGTTGTATTGAAAGACAAAGATATTTAAATATTATAATTTATTTGAAATTGGAAGAAAAATGTTTAAGACATTAGAGATAGACAAGTAGGTAGATAGCTAAATGGACTGCATGAACTTACAGACAGATAAAGACATAGATGGATGGACATACGGTGAGTTGCACAGAGATGCAGACAGACAAATTGATAGACGGACAGTTTGAAGTGTTAATGGCATGGATAGTTTCATGAGCATCAATACTCATCCATTTGTACATATGATATGTACATGTCTTTGAATTTCAAATTACATCAATGAAGCTGATTTAACGGGGCAAACCAAAGAGGAAGAGTGCCACAGAAATATTTGGTGTACATCTCAAAGCCACTCTAGATCTTTCAATGTTTATTTGACGAGTTTCATGTAATGCAAATACATTCAGTCTATCAGTAATAATTAGAGAAAACTCTGACAATGAAACTAAGTACCACAAAGTTATTATCTCAAGCAAAATAGGAAAAAATGAATTCTAAAACTCCTGCCACAATAGATAGATGTTATTTATTTTCACATCAGCAATTGATTTAGTCCAAATTAAGGTATCTAGGGTATGCAATGTGATACAATGGTTCCTGTGATGTGTTATTGTTTTCACAGTAAAAGCTGACCTGAAAGACACCTATTTTTGCTTTATCAAGAAAGGTAAATGTAGACATGTGTGCAGTACTGTTAAAAAGAGAGTTGGTGCCTGCACAAAACTAAATGCTAACTGCTGCATCGTTATGCCTGAAGATCAAAGCACAGTGAGTATAAAGATTAGTAATAAAGACAACTGGGTTCCCAGTCCTCCTACACATCCAGGATGTTCTTTTCTCTAAATGACATTGTTGAAGAATATGTTCATGCCTGAGGACCTGACAATAGTGGGTGACTTCTGAGAACCTATTTCATTTCATCATTTTAGATATCATGATTTTCCTAAGTGCCAGAAAGATGAATTATGGCAAAGGATATTATGATTATTGGGATTATTTAATTCAACAATTGTTAAAATGAATGAGAACATACCTCCAATATGAGGGACATGCTGAAATGGACCAAGGAAAAGAGACAAATACACATTTCAGCACTTTGTAGATTAAGGGACTAGATTCATCATAAGCAGGAAGGTTTAGGCTCTATAAAAAAATGTATCTTTCTTGTTATTTGTTTTTTTAAAAAAAAAAGCCAATAAAGCACATCTTGAGCAGGGACCTTTCAAAAGCAATCATTTCGGAAAGTAAAGCCCAGGTGTATACCAAAGGAAAGAGGTAGTAAGAGGTATGATGTTCATTGGTGGTGTCGCTAGTATATAAATGACAGGGAAAAAATGTTCTAATGAGTTCAATGTAAAAATCACAAACTAGAATATCGGGTATTTTACTAACAATCTTATCATGTTTCTAGCCTATATTGAATGTTGACACTTAGTAATATAGATAAACTTTTGATGCACTTAAAGTTATATGAGTTAGAGTAACCAATTAGCCAAACAAAACAAGTGCATAGACATGAAATAAAACTGATTAGATTTAATTTTGAAAGTAATAAGCATCTGAATGAATATCTAATTAGGATAACTTAATAAGTAATGTTGACAGAGACTATGAAGTCCTTAAGCTAAGTAAACAGACCGAACTATGGTTTGTGTTCCCTGCCCCATCGAATGATATAAACCTATGTTTAAATAGTACTTTACTCTGGAACTTTCCCACAGAGATGGAGAAAGAAGCAATATAAATGTTAAGTTGGACTAAAAATGCACAGGATGAATTGAAGAACAGATAAGGTGAGTTGAAAGAGTTAGCAGGGGATATTTAGTAAACAGAAGCTTTTTGTGTCTTTGCACCACTAACTACTTCTAAGTGATTATGTTTATTAACATTGACATTGATGATCTCACCAAAGACAAATGGAATTAGCATCTCTTTCAAATCACAGTAGTAGGCAGGTATGACAGTAAAATAAACTTGCTTGGTATGCATTATAAAATATGTAACATCCAATGATGTTCATCTAAAAGTTGTATTCAATTAGTTGATCACACTCATTGCTGTCTAACTTTACATTCAGAAATATAGTATGGTATTGTGAAGTCAGGTTAGAAAACAATTAAAACAATTACAAAACCCATCCACCCAAAGAGAGGTTGTCAAGTGAAGAAAGAACTACCCATATTGCTACAAAAATAGAAATATATTGGCATGGTGGTTATTATTAGCGTCTGATTAAAAATCATCTACCTAGTCTTTCAACTGTTAAAAAATAGTGTCTATGCTGTGACAAATGTGACACAGAGATTTGGAACCATACCCTTTAGTAATCTGATGCTATCTTTGGTTTAATTGAAATTTTGTTATATGCCTATCTGAATTCTTGACTCTATGAGCATAAGTTAGACTCATAAATTAAAAGATGCTGATACTTTATTCCAGTTTCAGAAGTTTCCAAAGATCATTTTAGATAAGCATTCAATTTTGATTACTGTCTTAAAGATGGAAAACAAAATAATAGTTAAATATTTCACTGAAAAAATCAATTGAGCACAGATAACAGTTATAATCATAAGATAACTGAAATAGAACAACAGGCATTGACCTTGTTGAATACTCAGTAAACAAAATTATTAAATTAATGGATAATTGCACTGACAAAGCAGAAAACAAGTTATTTTTCAATTAAAATTTTTCAGACATATCTATATGTTGATCATACTCCACTTTATCCTCTACCTTGTCTTCTCTTGCCCTCTGCCCTCCTATTGGTCCCCCCATGTCCCTCTAGACAGTTTCACTCTACATAGACAATTTTATATGTTTGCATAAAAATACTAAAAAACATAAACAAGAAAAATATCACCCAATCGATGACTGGGCAGATGAAATGAACAAGCAAATCTCAAAATTTGAAACATGAATGTCTAATAAATATGGGAGGGAGTTTCAAGATAAGAAGCTTCAGAGAAATGCAAACCAAAACTATATTGAAATTGCATCTTATCCCAGTCAAAAGCACAGTCCTTAGGAAAATATGATGTGCTATAGGAATAGCTGTCCATTAATTGTGGAACTCAGGATGAAGATTTGCAAAAACACTAATAGGGGGTCTTCCATGTGACCCTACTGTACCACTCTCAGATAGTTACTTAAAGGAATCTTAATCTGTGTATTACAAAGACACTGTACATCAATATTTATTGCAACATTATGCAAAAGAGTTTAAGTATGGAAACAATTTGGTGTCCAACACAGCATAGGAATCACACAGAAAAGTGTAGCATATACATAATGGACTTGTTTTTCAAATTGGCTTTGAGGAGATTATGGTATTAAATATCCCCTCTTAAGTAAAGGCTATTTGTGGCAGGGACAGATCTCAGTCAAAAAATTGTTTGTTTTGCAAGTAGAATGACCTGAGTTCAATTTCTAGTAGCCATTTAAAATAGATATGGTAGCACGGGTTTACAGTCTCATTGTTCAGGAGGCACAGTCAGATACCTAGAGCTGGATTGCTAGCAGGCTTGTCTTACTTGGCACGTTCTGGGCCACAGAAAAACTGTCAGGGTCCGGAGTGATTAGTTCTTGAGGTGAAAAAATTGAAATTGTTGTCCTCTGACCTTCACAAATATGTACACACGGGTGTACACACATAGCATACGCATGTACACCTGCAAACACACACACAAATAAAACTCAATATTTGTCTGGGTAAATAGAGGAAACACACACACACACACACAGAGAGAGAGAGAGAGAGAGAGAGAGAGAGAGAGAGAGAGAGAGAGAGAGAGAGAGAGAGAGAGAGAGAGATTCCTGGAAGGAAATGTTGGATAAGTATATTGAATGGATATTGGCAGAAAGGGTGGTTGAATGCAATTGCAGTTATACAGAAAGAATCCTTTGGCTACAGTTTTCAAGTTCAAGTATCATAGACTGATAGTGTGGACAAAGTCTGTAGTTCAGGACAGAAGATGCAGGTAGCTGAATTGATGACTACTGTCTTCCTTTCCCTCCTGTCTGTGGTCCTATAAAACACTGTATGTTTTCATGGGATGTGGTCTTTCTCTGAGAAAATGTAACCTTCTCTAAACTACTGCTCTCCCACTGGGGTCTCACAAGCAGAAACCTCTTCTCAAACAACTTGTCTAGTTAACACGTCTTGTTGAAGACAAGAATCTTAAAAAGCATAAACAATTTAGAGAACATCAGAGAACCAAAGTAATGAATTCTATGCTATATGGCTGAAGAGTGAAAAAGCCTCTATTATTCATTTTATCTCTTCAACATAATGCTGATTAGACAATTGCTAATTTTTAATTTAAATCTAGAGAACAGAAATTCAAACGGTGATTCACCTCCTGCTTTTTTTCCCTAGTTTCCACTTAATCACTCTCCATCTTTCATTTATAAAATGTGAAACAGCAACTGAGCATCAAAATAGTGTGAGACTTTCTTCTGGTGAAGACAAAAAAGAGACAAATGAATGGATGACCTATGTATTAAATTTGAAAATAAACTTTTGACCGTCTCATAATTTAGAATGTATCTAATGTTATAAGGACGATAGATTGAAATGGTAGAAAACTAATGTAGTATCAGATGAAGACTTTAAAAATTAACAGCCTGAGAATTTGGGACAATGATGAATGAAAAGATTCATGAAGATACATAATCAGGTCCTCGTTCTGCAGCCACCAAGTGCAGAGAACAAGCTTAGACATTGTGTCCCATTCACATGTTTGCAAGAAGTTGTTTTCTACATGAAGACATTCATTAGTTGTAATGAATCGTACTAGGTGTGTCTCCCTGTTGGACTCTTTATGAGGACTAAAGAGAGGTAGCAAAAAATATGAAACCTATAAAAGCATTCTCAGACAAGGTGGGCTCCACGTCTCAGAACTGTGACTTGAAATATACCCTGACCACTAGGCCATCTTCTCTGTCCAATATCAACTGCTGTTAAGTCCAAGAGCCATTACAATTAAGGAGCCTTTTGTCTAATGAGAAAATAAAAAGGAGCTGTAAGTAGTTCCCTCCTCTTCTTCATGGTCAACAAAAAGACTGCAAACAGCTAAATGAATCAGTCAAGAATCACAACCTGTGGTGGGGGGTAGGGGGTTGGGCGGTGAGGAGAAGCTGATGTAAAGTATTGCTGTGATCCTAGCTACAGAGATATAGTCCTGCTCAAAGGAAGTAGTTGAGTGAATGTGAGTCATGCAGGCAACTTTCTTACTCCACAGCCATTCTCCAAGTTCTGAACAGCACAAATTCTGGGATCACGCCAAGAAAAACTTATCTGTTATGTGCCTAGGTTATGCTTTCCTTTCCAGTCTTATCTAGGATGTTTACAAGCATGCAGATAATCTCTTTTACATGTGGGATTTAAACAACTTCTTGGTCTGCATAGAGATGGTACTTTTCGGTTTATTATGACGTACCACCACAGATGATGAGAGTTTTATATTCACCTGGCCAATTTCAGCCTTATCTGAACACCACTGCTTGAAACCATGTCTAAGTTCTCTGCTATGGTGAGGGTGGTGTAATTTCTCTACTCAGGATAAATACAGCTATACCTCACCTTATATTCTTCAGCCCTTGAAATTTATTTAATTTCTTTCACGAACACATTTTTGACTTGCATCTGTCCTCTCATGAATGCAATCTCTCCTCTGAACTACACACTCTTATCTCATCTTAGAAATTAGTAACCACTGATGAGACCATTTCGTGGACTTCTGTCCTGGTTGTCCAACTTGACTTCATTTTGGGCGTGTAAGAGAAGAGAAACTCTTAATTGAAAAAAATCAGACTGCATCATTATTAGCCTGTAGGCAAAC